TGCCCAACCTTCTCTCTTTACCAGCATTTTTTCTGGCTTAGCGAGGTAAAGGAGTGAGTCGGCCGGGAATCGAACCTCGGACCATGTGCATGGTCGACAAGCGTCCTAACCGCTGTGCCACCGACACGGTAAGAAGATGGATGTATTTATTTAGATAATTCAGAGTTTATATCGAGATATACAGCCACGTGAATACCTAATGTAGGACATCCGAGTAAGGGCAGGGTAGACCCCAGTCTTCCTCTCGAAGTGCCCCACTCCCATTTGGCCATATATCGACACTCTTTGCCAGGAAAATCCTATCCACTGTCTGTCTTCACATGGCACGGGATGTTATCACACAAAAGTGAAAAGGCGAATGTAAAAAAAACGTCTAGAGTTTATGACCCCCAACTGGTGGATATGAAAGTCAACTTAAGGTAGCTGGGAAAATCCTGATTCAAAGCCTGTAGTGCATATGAACTCGAAAATCCAAAAGGATAGAAAATGACGTATGAACTAGCAGTCATAGAAACGCAGCTTCTGACGGCTGCTTCGATGCCTTGTGGATCAGACATCAAGTCAAATAAATGCTAGTGTGGAGTGGTTCAAACTGGACGTCAGTGTAATACCTCATCACTTTTGTACAAATTATGAAACAGCAAGCAGAAAGAAAGAACTTATACTCGCGTAACAGGTGACTGCATTATACCTCAGCTTTAGAATTTTCCGTAAGTGCTTAAGGCGACTGTTTCACTATGTTTAAATTACAGCATGGACAATTCCCACCTGATATCTCATAACTACGTGTGGCCTACTAACGAAATCCATGTGCGTCGGTGGCACAGTGGTTGGGACTCTCGTCGATCATACACATGGTCCGGGGTTCGAGCCCTCGCCGACGCACACCTGATATCTATGGTCAGCCTGCAAAATTTGGGCTACTGGTATCCTCGTTGAAAATTCCATACTTGTACCCAAAAATACAGCGTGGAATCAAGCTGTAATCAAAAATAAAATTAAAAAAATAATTCGACACCAGAAGAATAAGTAAAATGTAGGAATGCAGTTTTAGGAATAAGCTCTATACAAAGCAGCAGCAAATTAAAGACTCTCCCATGTACCTTCAAAGTCAAGTACGAAGTGTGACATTGATGGGCAGTGGGGAGATAGAAAAAATTACCTAACATAGTGGCCACTCTATAGAAATATTCAGTTTCGATTCCTAAATATTTCAAACTGATATATATATATATATTATATATATATATATATATGCAATAAGAAGCAGCTACTTCATTAGGAAGAAAGAAACGAACACCACGAATACTTAAGCGTGAACTAAAAACAATTAATGTGATAATGAACAGAGAAAAATACCCAAGAGAAGTTCTCCTTGATTATACAACTCTCACTTTTTTCACTGACTTCAAAAGTCAAACTACTTGATGTAGCGTGATACAAACTGTGATAGGAATTGGTTAAAACTAAAATATGAACATCTCAAGTCAATGCCTTCAGAGGTAGAAGTGTTTATTTTTCAAATCTGGAATTTTCAAGTATTGGTTTTTGTAGGGATTTTGTTTGATTGCATGGAGGATTTAATCATGAGCTGACATCAGTTAGAGAACCATTGGAAAACCTGGGAGTACTGGACAGCCGTTTTGTCCTAGTTTGGGACTCCTCAGCAGTACGTACCCACCGGGATTCGAACGCAGGACCTTCTGGTTACAAGGCGAGCCCGTAGACCATTGAGCCACTGGGACCCGATCCAATGGTCCTTGAATTCTAACTTCTGCCAGTTCACGACATAGCGCGACCACTTCGCAATGTCTTCTTCGATGAGTTACTGCCTCATCTTCGACCTGCTGTACCCTACTGGAATTAATTTTATGTTGTGGTCGTCATGAAATAACCCCATTGCGCAAATTCGTTTAAACTTAGAACAATTGCTAACCAATCAGAACGACTTATTCGCCTCTAACCTGGCTAACACATTAATGTGGCTAAGAATGTAAAAAAAAGTGATGTGTATTTTCCTAACAAAGTTCCGTTATCAAGTCTTTTATCTTCTCCCACTTTCATAAACCGGATAGTAGGACGTACATATATAAAAGTTCGGATGACCAGCTGAATACGACAAACCAATTTATCAAAATTTAAAAAAAATAAAAGAAGAGTAGCTAGCGTAAGAGAGAGTAGAACAAATATTGTAAGGAGTGACTATTTGTAATTAACTTTGATTAATTATTATCATTATTCTTATTTCCTTACAACCCTATCACATCAATAATTATCAAAAACATAACAAATACAACAACATACATATAATATAAATGACAAGTCCGTGTGTGATACATATAATAATACAAATGGCCTAAGATACATTAATGCCTTGAGGTAAATGTCTCAGCATAACTATTGGGTTGTATTTTTTTAAAAAGCATATACAATACAAACTAATCATTGGTTTAAATGAGACCAGATGTTCTCTCAGAGTAATGAGAATATACAAAACGCTCTTCTCAGGAAGGAAGAACTGAATTATTACACACACACACACACACAGACAAAAAAACAAACAAACAAAAACATAGTGGTATACATATATATGGACTATAAGAGAAGAAATATCATTAAGAGGATATGATATGGCAGGATAGGACAGAATGGATGAATATTGCATTTAATTTAACACTTCAGTATTTCAAAACAATAGTTCAAATCACTTATAAATTGATTATGGTAATTATCCGAATTTTTAATAATCCCTGATAAATTATTATTATTATTACTTATTATTATGGCAGTAATAACTGGAAAGCAAATAGCAATTAAAGATAATGAAGTACTAGTGATACCAGTGTTAGAGTACTGTGAATAGCTGTTTTGTCCCATTTTAGGACTTTTCAGTAGCAGTACGCATCTATCCAGTACCCCAACACTAGTGATCGAACTCAAGACATTTGTATGTTATCAGACGAATCCGCTTACCATTCAGCTATTGAGTATCTATTAATCCTAATACCTGACTTAGTCAGCGAGCCCCCACTGGTTACGACATCTCTCACTAGTATTAGATTAATTTTCAAATTCTGGTAATAAGTCGGAATTCATAAGCAACTGAGTTCTATCCCTGTGGTAGAATGGTCAACAGGCTCGACTGAAAGTTCTGGGCTCGACCACCGATGGCTTATGGGTGAATACTACTCTTGACTTGACCAGTACAGGACTACGATGAAATAGTTGTCCGTTCAGTACTCCCTGCTCATTAATGCCTACCTAACTGATATTAATTGATGATCTAGCTTTAAATTAATTAGATCTTTAAAAAAACTAACACATGCCAAGTACCGGTAGTGTCGATAAAGGTAGTGATATAATTATCAATACTGAAACGAGTAGTACGAAAAGTTACTCCTACAATATAACGGCACTAGAAATAGTAGTAAAAGTATTAGTATAAACTAAGAATATTCTACTTGGTAAATTATCCCGAGGTACGACATGTATATACATACACATATAAAAAGACCTTAATCGAAAATGGCTATCCCGACAAATTTATCAAGAAACACATGACAAAGAAAGCACAATAATGACTACTCACTATCTGTAAATAAGAAGCCTATTTATATACGACTACAATTCAAGGGCGATATACCAAATGAGATAATTACGAAGAAATTAAGAAAATCAGTTCAAACAACTTTTAATGCTGGCGAACTACACGTATTATTTTCTACACGACCGATGGTGCTACCTTGACTGAAAGATGAAGTACCTAGACCAGCCACTTCAAATTGTATCTACCAATTCAACTGCGCTTGTGGAGCGAGTTACATTGGCCATCGCTCTAGGAACTTGATTTTTCGTGCTCTCTCGAGAACATATCCCACTATGGCTAAGTAAATGTGCAGTTAAATCAATTAACAGTTCGATATTGGAACATCTGGTGCAAACAGGCTACAAAGCCAGCGTAGATGAATCCTTCTCTATATCATACCGGGTGCCAAATAAATTACCAAAAACATAGAAGCACCGCATGCTTCAAACAGCAGAGGCTATTGCAATTCGCCTCAAACAACCAGTGCTCTATCTTCAAAAGAAGCAAGTCCAGTCAGCCCCTACTACTGCCCTGACTGGCCTTCAGTAGAGACTATAAGTTCATAAATTTGTAATATTATCTTTCCTAATTCTTCTGACATTCAGCTTATTTTATGTTGATGCTACTGAGTTGTAATCTATCAATATTATTGATTCAATGTTATTTAAACAACATTAATGTTGTTCATAACACTAAGTCACTCATTCACTATAATGTATATATAAAAAATTCAAGGAGAATCGGTTTAATTTGTCAATCATATTTGACAGCATTAAACTTATAGTTAGCATGATTTCACACATTCACGGACTGTTTCAAAACCACTTCTCCCTATCATAAACATTATGTACATATATATGCACCAGACCATATGGGCTAAAAGAGACTTGTTCAACTGTGCCCTCAACTTAGTCAGGAATCAATGAAATGAAATACAGAGTTTGAAGTACTTTACACAACACCCAACACATAAAAAAAACACATAAATGAGTAGTACACATGTTGAGTAAATATTATTCCGCTTACTGGAACTAAGGATTAATGTTTCATGAGAAAAATCCTATGATGCTTATATATCAGTCAAGTCGATCAACCGCCTCACAAGCTTAACATTCACACAGAATGTAACTATCAGGCTTCATAAATGTTGAAGCGTAGACAAAATTTGCTGTAAAGTTATTTTCTTCATTCACATTTAACTTTAATGAATAATATACAGTAGTACTCAAGTATTTAAAAATATCCGTGACAGAATTAGGAGCAGTAATCACATTATTATTATTATTATTAATATTATTATTATCACCATCACCATGAATAGCAAGTATGAGAAGAAATAATATATGATTATGCAAAAATTGACGAAATATTTTACTACAAATAAGTAAAACAAATAATACGTGATAATACTTACAAAGATTTGAATAAATCTTCGATGTCTGTACGTGGACATATTTTATGGTATAATTCGTAGAATTTCTCGAATGGAAATTCATTTGGATCAATATCATCATTCTATAAGTGAAACGAAAGAAGGAAGGAAAATTCAACGGAGGTATATGGGAGAAAGAATAGTAACATGGGAAAACTTGACGGTCAATGAATATATGGGGATCATGAAGAGTGAATGCATCAGGATCATTGTGGACGATTTTGAATCATACCACCCACCAACAATTCAAAATCATCGGTTCTTAGCATTCCAAGGAACTCCTTATTTGGCTGGCTTAAACCAGCTATCAAAGACGTAAGGGATAGATATCATGTTTTGCTGTGATCAACCTGAGGTCTTTTACAACCCAAATCTATGTCAGTCAACATGAGTCTGCATGCACGTGTCCAAGACGTCTCATTCGATGTAGTAGCATAACCTCCCTCCTTTCGTAACACTATCTCTATAGAGCTAATCTCAATATTGTTCACTATATTGTACTACCTAACGTGGAAGACAAAATGCAACATCTATGGCCAAACACATCTAGTTTCTTCATATTTTCCACTTTCAATGACTACATCACACAGCCAAAAACAAGGAGACAGAAAACTGCTGCAAAGTATATACGTCCTTAAATCGACAAATGAATATTACATTTTCGCCAAAGATAACGTAGGTTGGCAGTTGACTTTTGTATCTGTGCTGAGGCTTCGTCAACAATCAGTTGGTTCATTAAGGCTTATGCAAATTTTCAAATCTGTAAAGTGATCAACCCACTCAACCAATTCACTTCATTTTTATAAACTGGGATCTAGTGCAGATCAATCCTGTAGCATCATCTTACATGTAACAGGATCGAATCGCATGCCTAACATTCGAAAAATTCTCATCAAGGTGTTCAGAAGACTTCTTGTTTTGTCAACGTTGTCACCTAGGAGAAAAATATTATCCGCATACTTTAAGTCGATAAAACTGTAATCCTGGTAACAAGTCAATCTCTCAGTTGCTAAACTCAATTGGGATCAATTCAGTTAGTACACTTATGATAACATTAAATGAAAATAAGGAGAGTGGATATCCCTGACGGGCACCATTAGTTCTCATATATACACACATAATAAAAATAATCTAGCAAAAAACATACCTTTCCATGGGGTAAATTCAAATCTTTTAAACTTTGATATACAACACGTTCATTACGACCTGAGGCGAATGTCTTCATAATTACACGAACAGGAATTCTGTTACGAGCATTTACAGTCAACGTGAGACGTAACCAACTAGAGCAGAAAAAAAACAAACACAGGCATACATATGTATTGACTGAGAGAATATAAAGAAATGACTGAAACGGCCTATCAGTTATCGTTCCCAATACATAATGTGACTGCAGAAGATAATTGATTAAAAAGTAATTTATGGTAAGCACTGGATAAGCAACGAATTATCATTGACATATGTGATATGTATCCACATGTGTGTTTTGTTTTTGACAGTCTATTATATTTTGCTATGTGTATAACTGACAATATGCTTTTGTCTGTCCACTAACTAAATAAACATGTATGGCCTTGTTGTCACATGACATTACAACCAATCATGTTAAAACTGTCTATCTATTGGATCATGTGTATTAGTCATTTTCATATATACTTTTGTACTATACACTTGTTGCTTCTTGTTCCCACGTTTCGTACACTACGTACCATTTCACTCATACTCTTGTGTGACATTTATCTTCCTTGTCTGGAAAATACAAGTATCATCGTAAACGAGGTGGTCTTTTGATTTCCCTCTTTCCGCGTCAGGAATATTAACTACTCGACGAATACATAACATAATTGGCAACGATAATAGATTTGAATCTCAATGCTTTGTCTCTTCAGTTGAATAATTACTATGATCATGCTTACAAAAGAAAACAACTTTCTTCTGCAATATTCTTCCTCTTTTTCTATCCTTTGCGTTTCGAAAGAACCATTGGGCTTTATGCTTTGAGCACTGAACATCCACTAGTGGTGTTGTTTATATTGGATGGGTTTGCTAGCCTCACGTCCAACTTTTCATCTTTCCCGTGTTTACCATCGACGATTAAGTTGGGTGAGGTTTAAAAGTATTTAGGCCGGGAATCGTGCCCCAGACAACGTGCATGATCGGCGAGTAGTCCTATTACTAAACCACCACTGACTCACTTCTTCTAAATACATTGTGGATAAAAATATCTTCAAATGCCAGAAAAGTCTAAAATATAGAACGTAGTGTCTCTGTAGTACGTCGGTGGCATAGTGGTTAGGACTCTCGCCGACCATGCACTTGGTCCGAGGTTCGATCCCTTGCCAACGCACACCTGACATCTCTGGTCGGCCTGCAAAATTTGGGCTACCGATATCACATGCTGAAAATTTCATACTTGTACCAAAAAATACAGTGTGAAATCAAGCTGTAATCAAAAATCAGAAAAAATTCATAGTACCAGTATATTCATGTAACATTTTAAGTCCTTATGTAATATATTTTATAAGTTTCCAGTATGACGCAATCACATGCTGCATTATCTTTTTCTATAGAAATGGGTGAAAAATATTCTCACAACTCTAAACTAACGTCGTTTTTCTGTCGTATAGTATAGCTCTAACCATTAATTAATCTATACATATGATTCATGTTAGTGCTAGGTTAAAATGATTCCCTAAAATTACTTAAATTTTAATTTATTAAACTGAATGAATTTAAGTATTGGTTTGTAGGGATTTGGTTGATTGGTTACAGGATTTCATCATGAGCTGACATCAGTTAGAGAACCATTGGAAAACCTGGGAGCACTGGACAGCCAGCTGTTTAGTCAGCCCAGTTTGGGACTCTTCATCAGTACGGACCCACCGGGTTTCGAACCCAGGACCTTCTGGTTACAAGGCGAGCTCGTGGGAATTCGTGACCAGTAGGGTGCAGGAGGTCGGGTGTGAGGACAAATATTCGCCGAAGACATTGGCTTGAGGTTGCGCTATATCGTGAATTGGCAGAAGTTAGAATTCAAGAGCTGGTCATTGGATCGGGTTCCAGTGACTTAATGGTCTACGAGCTAGCTTGGCTTGTAACCAGAATGTCCTGGGTTCGAACCCCGATGGATGCGTACCGATGAAGAGTCCCAAACTAGGACGAGACAGCTGTCCAGTGGTCCCAGGTTTTCCAATGGTTCTCTAACTGATGTCGGCTTATGATGAAATCCTAAATGAATTTAACCAATAGATCATCAACAGAACACAATGTCTTCTGCAAAGATCTTCCTCCAGTTGTGCTTATTTCTAGCAGCTATTAAAATGTCTAATAAACTATGTACTGAGGTGTGAGTACTGGAGCCCAGTCGAAAATCAGCTTATATTAATTCGTATATATATATATATATACATTCAGCTTTGTGAAAGATATGCACATATTACTTCTTGAAGTAAGTAAGTAGGTATTGTTCCCACAGCTCTCTGAATCTGACTGTTGTGATTGTAATCTATGGACAGGTAAGAAATTATGGCTATATTACAATATTCATAATAAACTTATGTCACTGCAGTGTTGAAATTAGACCAGGAGTTAGTTATATGCAGACGAAAGTGATTAGTCATTCAGTATATAATAGGTGTTTTTCCATACATCTTCGAATTACCCCAGTAGGGATTTTGCAAAAAAAATACTCCCCATTACTGCTGCTAATTCTCCTGTAAGCCAATATTCCTAAAATTACAGGTAATTGTCAATACAACAATAAACCCTATATGTATTCTGTAAAGCCTATCCTGTTGTTCGCTAAATTTAAGTGACACAAATCTATACATCATAGCTAGTATTGACGAGTGAGACTTAGAGTCACCAATAACCATTTAATATCAGATGGTTGAAGGCAATCGGTAGGAAGTCGTAGACCTTGTCTTTTCACATACACATGAGAAAGGCCCAATTGAAAGCTTGAACAGTATTACGTCAGCTATCAGATTTGAACCTGTATCATTCAGTCAGCAGAGACAATTCTAGGATAGAAATGTGTGTATTAGTGACACTGATTGATCACCACCTGAGGGTAAACAAGGTCATGCGTTCAGGCAATTGAAAGAAACCCCTGCATTGAGGAATAACGCTGGTTAGAATCTACCAGCAATCTGGCAATCATTACCCTAAAAGTGGCTAATTCATTGAAGCAAATCCTATTTATGTGTATTTTCCAGCAATGATTCCCACCAATCAGCATATTTTTATTCGTTGAATACTTAATCATTACTTGATGATTCTATGTACCAGTTGGAATCTTTGTAATAGTTATCACTAACACATGTTTTTTGAGTGAAAAGATATTAATAATTAGCAACACATCTGGAAAACTTAGTTTATTCTACCAAATTAATCATAAGTTTATTATTAATACTGAGATTCAGTATGTAAACTGTGCATAACACAAACAATAGTTGGTCACTAGTGTCCTTCTACAAATATTTAAATACATAACATCTGGAGTAAATTACTGTCTGTCTGTTTTTGACATAGAACTTTAGACATATGTGCACCAGTTCAAGTCGCCACACTCCATGTAGCACACAAAGCATGAGAAGAAATTAGAAGAAATGCATAATAGAGACAGTAAACAGAATTGTGAGACAAAGGAATAGTAGTAACGAAGAACAAAACAGTTTCATTGGAAATCATAAGTCACAAGGAGTGAATGCATCTTCGCCATACATTCAGAACGATTTTGAGCCATATCACCAATAGTTTCCAGCCATTGGCTTTTACCGTCCCGAGGACCCCAACCGGTCACGAAGTCTACACCTTCCTATGTGGCTGGCTTAAACTAACTGTTGTAGGTTTCATTGACTGGTGAGGCCATGTTTTGGATTGACCGCCGCTAGCTCTTTTCCAGCCTGACCCTATGTCCGCTAACATTGCCCGTCAGTCGAGGAAGGCGATGACTAGGCATCCGTAACACATGTCCTAAC